AATTCCTTAAATTATCTTTGAGGAGGGAAAATCATTCAAAGAATCCAAGATTGTCCGAGCAGCACATGGGGAGTGCAACATGATCCAGCGTCGCTCAGATCATTAATTTGAAATAAATTTAATTTGAAATAAACCACTTGTCCACACCTTGACTGATTTATCCTTTGGGATACTTGGACTTTATCTCTTAGAAGGATTAAAAAAGATGGATTTTATTTTTACTGAGTGCAAAAATAACCCAAAAAAAAAAGTTTCAAGAGAGTTGGAAATTCCCACCTCTCCCAAAGCAAGAAGGCTCAAACTTCCCCAAAAAATGGAGAAATTAAACACAAAAAAAAAAGGAAATTCATCTCTGTCTGGGCTGGGGAAAGCTGGAACACTGAGGATGAGCAGGAAGGGAAATCATTGGACACAGGGAGTTCAAACCTTACCAATTTCTTGTCTTTGCCTTTGCATCTCCTCTTGGAATTGTTTCCGTCGTCGGGGCGGTGCACGAAGGAGATCCAGGTCCTGCGGGGATCCGTGATCCGAGGCTCTGCAGATTCCTGGAGCTGAGGACACACCAGGACAAGATGGCACAGCTTGAAATTCCATGGAAAAATATTCCCAGATATTCAGAGGATGTAAAAAAAAAAAAAAAAATCCAGCCCAGGCTGATCCTGTGCTTTTGGGAGGACACTGAGGAAGAATCAAAATCTCTGAAAATCCATCAGATCTTTTTCCAACTGCTGGGATTCCCATCCCTCCGATAATCCTCTGAAATTCCATGGAAAAATATTCCCAGATATTCAGAGGATGTAAAAAAAAAAAAATCCAGCCCAGGCTGATCCTGTGCTTTTGGGAGGACACTGAGGAAGAGTCAAAATCTCTGAAAATCCATCAGAAACCTTTCTGGATAAATTCCAGATTTGGATCCCTTCTAAATAAATTCCAGATTTGGATCCCTTCTAAATAAATTCCAAATTTGAATCCCTTCTAAATAAATTCCAGATTTGGATCCTTTCTAAATAAATTCCAAATTTGGATCCTTTCTGAGCAAATTCTGAATCTCTTTGGAATAAATTCTGGAATTGAATTCTTTCTGGATAAAATTCTGGCTTATGATACTTTCTGGGAAAAAAAAAAATCTGGATTTGGATCCTTTATGGATAAATTCTGGATTTGGATCCCTTCTGAATAAATTCTGGATTTGGATACTTTCTGGAAAAAACGGATTTTTTAGGGAGAATTGATGGAAAATGGGAATTTCATGGGGAATTTTTGGTTTTAATGGCAATTAAAACAAAAGGGATGGAGGAGTTTTAGAGGGAGAACCTCAAATATTCAGCGTGGCCACAGAACCCTGCAGCACATCCCAAAAACCAGGAGGAAAAATCGGATTTTTTTTTTTTTAGGGAGAAGTGATGGAAAACGGGAATTCCATGGGGAATTTCTGGTTTTAATGGGAATTTTTGAGGAGCTGAAGGTTTTTTTTTTTTTTTTTTAGAGCCCCAAAGCTGCCCAAGCTGAACCAATTACCGGGATATTCCCGGGGACAGCAACAATTGTTCCCAAATTTGTGACTCCTTGGTGGCCAGGCCCCAATTCCGGCCTTGTCCCCTGGTTGTCATGGCAACTGCCAGGGCTGATGGCCCTGAGGTCACCCCATGGGGACAGGGACAATTCTGTGTCCCCCCACGGGGACAGGGACAATTCTGTGTGACCCCATGGGGACAGGGACAATTCTGTGACACCCCATGGGGACAGGGACAATTCTGTGTC